GCAGAAACAGCCGCACTCAGTGGAGGTGGAGAGAAATCTCCTACTGGCGGCTTCCCCGGGGACTCAGAGCCAAGTTTCTACTTTCCCTTCGAGGAGTCACCTGCTGTTCCCAGTCAGCGACACTAAGGGCGGTGCCAGCGCTCGCTGTGCCCGGGCTTCGCCCCGCCAGGGCAGGGGATGCCAGGGACAATCCTGAGCCCCCTCAGAGCTGCCGCTCCTTCCCCCTCGGGAGGCTGAGCCCGATCCGCAGCTGCCCCGTGCCCGCATTCGGCAGCTCCTGGCGCTGTCCCCGCCTGTCCCGGCCCGGAGCTCACCGAGGCTGCCTTTCTGTCCCGCAGATGCTGCCCCAGCGTCACCGGGCAACCGGGACCGGCCGGGGCCTCTCATCGTGCGCTCCTCGCTCTGTGAAACTGCACTGGGAGCTGGGCTCGGTGTTCCTGTGCCGTCAGTGCTGATATCTCTGGAGCGATATCTAAGTGTGAAAGGATTCCAGATCTGGAGGGGCGATTCTGTCCCAGAGATGTCGAGGCTGCCGGGGACTCGATTCGGGTGCAGGATCCTTTTGATAAAGCGTGGAACCGTGAGAGCTCTATGGCTGCAGCGAGTCAGTGGCGGAACAGCTCCGACTGTGAGAGCGCAGAGGAGCCCCTGGATCCCTACGGATCCAGCATCGAGCACGCAGAGCTGCCTCGGGTGCCAGAGGATTCCATTGGTGAGACTGGAATGAGGCCAAGGAAGGATGAAGCCGTTGTTGACACTGCCGAGGCTGCCCTGGGTGCCCAGGATGGATCAGCAGCCAGAGGGACGGAGCTGCTTCAGGTTCAGGATCCTGCTGGGCACAGGCAGGGAGAAGCTGCTTCTGTGCTGGGGCAGAGTGAGCCCTGCCCCAGGAATGGGATTGGAGAGAAACCCCAGAATGTGTCAGCAGCGGGACTCACACAGAGAAGAAACCTCAGAAGATTTCACGGTGAGTGCAGGGCCAGCCCTGTAGGGAGGGGATGGTGTCACCCAGAGCACAGGGCTGGCACGGCTGGGGCTGTTCCCAGGGCTCTGGAAGGGGCCTCGTGCTCTGCTGGCACTGACACCCCCGGCCCTGGGCAGTTGTGCTGTCACAGGCTGTGCCCTGGCTGTGGCCCTGTGCCTGGCTGTCCCCCTTTTTTTATTAAATGGTTGTGAAGCCTCCCAGTATCCCTCGTGTCTCCTTTATTAACAAATTGTAGAAGGAGAATGAGAAGTGAACCAAATCCTCAGGAAACACCTCCACCCCACCCTTCCTTCCTTCCCACTGTTCCCTTCATCCCCCATTCCCTCTCTCCTCTGCCCCCAGTGCCGCAGGGTTTGGGGGTCACAGTCGGGCCCTGTCACTGCCTCTCACTCAGGGGAGGAATCCTTGTCCTGCTCCGCTCTGGGCTCCAGCGGGGCTGCGGGAGGGGTGTCTCCTGCATTCGGGACTCCGCCCCGGCGCTTCCTCCGCCTCCTGCCCGGCCCGGGCACGGCGCCAGGGTGTTTATGGATGTGAGTTCTGGGAAACGGAGAGACCGAGGGGCTGTTCCGTGCTGTGTGCGAGAGCGGACCGCACTCCCATTGGCTGATTCCTCCCGTCCATCGCGGTCGCTCTCGCGCGCTGATTGGTCAGAACTCCGGGTTTTAAAAGTGGGCGGGTGTGGGATTTCGCGCGCGTTTTTTGAATCGGCGCTGCTGCGACCACCCGTGCGTGTCTGGAGTCCCGGGAGCGGCGGCAGTGACCGGAGCGCGGAGAGGGGAAGGCGGAGCTCGGAGGCGGCCCCAGCACAGGTGGGAGAAGCGCTCGGTTGTGCCGGGGCTCGGGGCTCGCTGCGGGCGGAGGAAGCGGGAGGGAGGATTGCGGCTGTTTCGTTCTCCCCTGTTCCCCCTGGCCTGAGGCCGCTGCGGGAGCGGCTGCCCGCGGTCTCCTTCCCGCTGATGCCTCGGCAGGAGCCG